TAATGCATCACTTTCTTTCATGAGGAATTTTCTACAGACTGTGCACATTGTGTTTTCTTGTAATGGTGCTTCTTGGATAATCTTGTGTATTTTAAGGTACTAATCTGAAATTCCTTGCTTGCTCCACCATATTATTTTTATCGTTTTTCTCTTGTACACTGTTTCCAGTGTTTGTGGTTACTTTTAGTGAGGGGGAGTTTGGTTCACCTTGATTTGGGTTGGTAAGGGAGTTTGGTTTCTCATTGCAAGAGTTGTTTAGCATGAACACTTTATGTTTGGTAAGGGAGATTGGCTATATGTTTTGCATGTTGCTATGCACTATTTGCCCTTCTTGTATGTTCATGTTATTTACATCGTCATATCATTACATCTGTGGTTTATAATCTTGCTTTTGTTGTTTGAGAGTTGTTTTTCATGAGTCTTAGTTTTCATCTATTCATGTTTTCCATCTCATGTTTCAAGATAATCGTGTCATATGTCTATTGCTTTTTCATATACTCTTGTGGGACTAATAGTTGTTCTGGAGATTGTGGCACTAATAACTGTTTTGCAGATCTAGACCTTGAGAAAGAAGTTGGCTTTTGTTGACTGTAATGGGTTGGGGTGTTTAAGATTTTATTTGTTAGGTGTGTTTTGTCACGGCATTGCCAAAGGGGGAGATTGTTAGGTTTTATTTCTTGGCAATCCCGTTTGACAAAACTCCTTTGAGTTGTGATTTTATTCGCACTTTTTATTTCAGTGAGGCTATGAGTGTTTAGATGCGAATCCAACCCGAATTGTGCTTTTCAGAGAAGTTTGTGATGCTAAAGCGTTCAAGATTGCCACTTCGCTGATTATGACGAGGATCGAGCTGCCCAGTCAGCTCGCGGGGGTCCAGGGGGTAGCGCCCCTTGGCGGGTCCGGGGTAGCGCCACGGCGGGGTCGAGGGGCAGCGCCCCCGAAGCAAAATGCAAAAATGCATTCAAAGTTGCCTGTTCGATCATGTTAATTTTTTCCAGTTTTTCCAGTTTTGGCCTGTCCGCTCGAGCGGGGAAAGGGACGCTCGAGCGGGGATTGGAAGCTCTCAGCATCTCTGCAGTCGCTTGAAAAAGTACTGGATGGTGTGATTCGCCGCTCGAGCGGCAAAACCGACGCTCGAGCGTGGAGCCTGTATGAAATCACAGAATTTGAAGTCTCCGCTCGAGCGGGCTGTGTTGAGCTCGAGCGGACCGCGCGATCCCAGATTTCCAAGATTTGATTGAAGAGTTGGTTTTCTTCTGAAATTAGGATTACTTTTGGTTCTCTATAAATACTTGGTTTTCTCCCAAAACTAAGTAATTTTTTTGGAACTTCTCCAGATCTTATTTTTGGATCTTAAGGTTTATATCTGGAGAGATTTTGCTAGTTTTCTTTGATGTTTTTATTGAGTATTCAACTCATGATCTAAAGAGAGTACATCAAAGGTTTGTTGGTTATACACAAAAGAGAGAGTTGTTCTTCAGTTGTGGATTCTGAAGAGTTCGAGCCTGAAGCTTTGGTGGAATCCGGAGTGGCTCATCAGAAAGACAATTCCGTGGTGAAGATGGGGTTGGAAGAGGCACATAAAGGTTGGTTCAATTAGGCGTTGTGGATTCGCTAGGTAATTGAGAGTATACCTGTGTAATTCCTTTAAATCTTCTTAGTGGATTGTTCTTGTGGCTGTTGCCCGTGGTTTTTTTATCACAGTTGGAGGTGTCCAATTGTGGTTTTTTCCACGTTAAATCGTTGTGTCTCTTTGTCTTGATTGTTTGATTGGGATTGTTATATTCTGCTTAAAATTGATACATAATCACAAATCAACATCTAGGGGATTTCTAGAGTCTTATTCAGGTTTGACTTGATTCGTTATTTTAAAGTGATAGACTCACAATTTAATCACATGTATAAATTTATTGAATTATGATTTGAGATTATCATATCTTAAAATTTTCACTACTGCAATATTTTAAAATTAAAAAAAAAATTAAAAAAAACTTCTACCATACTTATACTGAGTCAATAAAATGAGAATTTTCACCCATACCTATGCCTAGTCAATAAAATGATGAAAGAATAAATAAAATAACTTGCAATTCTTGCTTAGGTGAACTTTTGACTGCATTAGAAAATGAAGTGCATAGCTTTCAATGTATTGTTTTTTACTTGAATCATCTCTAATATGTAATGCCCATCAAACCTTAGTCCCAATGTGCTGCAATCTATTTCTTCTTGTCCCCTTTTCATTGGAGTTTCTTTTCATCACTTTATTCTTGAATCATCTCTAATATGTGACCCTCTCTCGTCCTAAAAAAGACATTGTGGTGGGCCTCTAAATGTTTTTTCATACTTTTTTCCCCCTAAAGAGTGTCCTACCTGTTTATTTGCTGTATCTATTATATTTTTAATACAAAGTCAGTGAATCGGCCAAACCAATCGGTAAGGATAAGTTCTTGGATAAAAAGTTAAAGGGTAAATTACAAATATACTTCTGAGTTTTGCTTAAAATGTAAATTAATTCCTACAATTTGAAAAATTACAAATAACCTCTTATTAGAATTTTTTATTTAACAGAATTAACTAAAACGACAAAATTCATAATTGCTCTCCTATACAATAATAAAATTACCTTAATTATTAATTGAAACATATTTTTAATATCATTAAAAACTGTTAATTAACTTAATGATTTATTAATAAAATGGACAATTTGTTATGAAATTAGAAACTTTAGGGGGTATAATGTAATTTTCAAAACTACAGGAAGCGATTCGTATTTTAATAAAATCTCGGGGGATGTATTTGTAATTTATCTAAAGTTAAACAACCCATAAAGTAATGAAAAAATTACTAGTATATAATGTAATTTAAACTTAATATTATGTGGGTGATATCCAAAATTAATATGGTTCACTTAACTACTGAGAGAAGGCAAATACTAAAACAAATAAGGAATTAGTTTGTGTTAGAGAGACACATAAATATAAAAGGAGAAATTCAAAATAAATTCAAAATCTTATGTTAAAAAATAAATTTTAAAAAATTGAAATACACGTCCCCCTTCTGGTCTCTTAATGGCTCGCCACTATTGACATATTTCATTGTTTAGCTAACTTTTTGCATAATTTTTTCGAGCCTAATCATCATAGAGTCGTGCTAGGGAGCTCGAATTTGAGCCCCCCGAATCCCCCTAATTAAAAAACGACGTCATTTATTATTATTTTTTTTATTTTTATTTTTTCGGAAGAAGAGAATTAGAAGAAGAGAAGGAAGGAGGAGGACTGGAGGGGGAAGAAGAAGAAGAGAAGGAAGGAGGAGGAGAAGGAAGAAGAAGGACTGGAGGGGGCCAACAAAATCGGAGTGGAGGCGGAGGCGGACGCGGGGGGCGGAGGCAGAGGTAGAGGCGGAGGCGACGGCGGGGTTGCGACGACGAGCTGTGATGACGAGCTGCGATGAGGCGAGGCAGGCAACGATCAGGCGACAGTGGGCAGAGCTCCTCCTCTTCCCCTCTCTTCTCTCTCTCTCTCTCTCTCTCTCTTTCTCTTCTAAATTTCAGGCTATTCGCGGGCGCCCGGGGAGGAAGGGGAGGGGAAATTATGGGGAAAAAACATTTTCCAATCATCTTATTAAGGGGTGGTTCATAAAGTGGTTTTTTGAATAAAATATAAAGTGAAATTTTTTCAAGTATTTTGGAAATAATTTTTCTAGCATTTTATGAAAAAAAAATTATAAAAAATAGAGAGAATAAAAAAAATTTAATTTTTTAATGACTTTTTAATTAAAATTTTATCTTTCCAAACACAGTTTAAGAATTGTTTTGCCAATAGGTTAAAATTGTCAAAAAACCCGATTTGATGGGACTCAAGACTTGGTTTGGTTTGGTTAAAATTGTCAAAAAAATCAAAAAATAATACAAAAAAAATAATTATTCTCTCTATTTTTTTATTTATCATTTCATAAAAAATAAAAAAATTAACTAAAATAGTCCCTATCACTTAGACTAGTTTTAGTGATAGTGAGCCTTCAAAGACATGTTTCTGATGTGAGAAACAGAAATAGATGCTTTTTCATGGAAGTGAATTAAGTCCTGACGGTATGTCGATGCCTTCCTAAATGTTGTGCTGCTGTTCCCAATTTGAAGGATTTTACCACTCATGAGGATTGCAGTAATCAGATGAAACCTTTGGTATCATGGTTTAAAATACAACAAATTGTACTGGTGATTCTTGTATTTTATTTCTTGTGTTATTTTAGTTAATTGACTCAATTTTGACCATTAATTTTATATTTTGTCTCAATTTAGTTTAATAGATTATACCATTGATATTTTTTAAGAAAAATTATCACGAAATTGGTTGAGGTTAACTTACTGAATTAGGTAAATTTATAATTTTTTCTTTAAAAATATGACACATGACACTTATGTGCATATTTTTTATAAAAAAATATTAAGAATTATAATCAATTGGATCAAATTCAAACAAAATCATAAATTCAAGATCAAAATCGAGCTAATTAAAATTACAATAACTAAAATAACACAAAAACTAATATATAGAAACTACCATCATAACTTATCCTTTAAAATATATCCACAATACTTCAGTCAATATACAACTTTATCATCAATATTAATAGGTATTTTAATACTATTATCTAAATCATATATACATTTTAAAAAGAACTTGCCATTTCATGACAATGGCATCTCTGGGTAGCTAATTCATTCATATACATAATGATAATACATATATATATATATATCATATATATCATATATATCAAAGTGAGAAGAGTTGGTTCCAACGACAAAACTGGCCAGCATTGAAGGGACCAAGGAATCCTATAAATCCCAATAATTTTATAATTAATATGATACAGATTAAAAGAAAACCCAATAAGAGAAGACTTTGGGTGCAAAAAATTAGAATTCGTCAACCAAGATGACCCACGTCTGTTGCTTCCTTTCCTGTTCCAACTTCATAGAATAGAAATCAATCATTACGAGGAACAAGACACGCATTGTTCCATTGTCTTCTTTACAAATGATAGTGCCCCCATTTTATTATTTCAGCCTTCAATCATTCATGTATCTCTCTCTATTTCTCTTTCATTGTTTATGTCTGGATGATCTGTCAGAATCTTTGCTTGGTTTATAAGCTCCTTTTGTTCCAATCCAACCCACTTTTGTGTTGTTAGCTAGCTCTATCTTCTCAACTAGTTCTATCTCTCTCTGTCTCTCTCTATCTCTCTCTCTCTCTCTCTGTGAGGAAGTTTCCCTTTTTCTTTTCTTTTTTCTCTTTTGAAGTCTGTAAAATGGGAAGGCAACCTTGTTGTGATAAAGTAGGGCTGAAGAGAGGTCCATGGACCATTGAAGAAGATCACAAGCTTATGAACTTTATCCTCAACAATGGTATCCATTGCTGGCGCATGGTTCCCAAGCTTGCAGGTGAACAATTTCTTGTGGTGACTCTCTCCCTATTTGCTTGTGTTTTTATTTTCTTGATTTTCTTTTTTCGTGTATTTAAAAAAAAAAAACCCTCTGATACACCCAATGCTTTCATATCATTTTCCTTTCATTTTTGTGCAAAAGTTTTTTATTTTTAGTATTTCTTAAAATGTTTTTTTTTTTTAGGTTTGCCTTCTATATATTTAAATAGGCTATAGTCCTTTTATTTCAAGGCAAAACACCAATTATTTTGAAAATATCATTATTATATCATTCTATATGTGTGTTTTGTTCAAAAAATTTGCTTGTAATTTTTTTTTAAAATAAAAAATAAAAAATAGAAAGCAAAAATTCAACTAAAATACCAAATAGCTTACTAGCTAGCTAATGAATGGCTTAACTAAATTCATGGCATTTGATGAAGGTTTACTAAGATGCGGAAAGAGTTGCAGATTAAGATGGATTAATTATTTGAGACCGGATCTTAAAAGAGGGGAATTTTCGGAGGCAGAAGAAAATCAGATTATACAACTTCATGCCCGTCTTGGTAACAGGTCCTTGTAACAAAAATTTTGTGGCTTCATTTCTAACTTTAGTCTAAGAACAATGAATTTAATTAGTTCTTTATATTCACACATTTTAAACTTTTTTTTTGTAGGTGGTCTAAGATAGCGTCGCATTTTCCTGGACGCACAGACAATGAAATCAAGAACCATTGGAACACTCGAATTAAGAAAAGGTTAAAGATGCTTGGATTGGACCCTGTGACCCACAAACCCATGGAACAAAATGAAAAAGTGGATGTACAGAAAACTGAAACCATCACTACAGATTTTGATTCATCGAAAGAAGAAGAGGAAAGACTGGGGGTTACAGTGACTATGTCTGAAAAACATACCAAGAATCATGCGGAGTTCGTAGAAACAAGAGAGAAACAAAATGACAAAGTCGATATGGCTTTCGATGAAACAACAAATGATCTTTTGCGTAGTTATGAATTAATGTTGTGTAGAAGCTTAGATGATGGTGGGTTGTTGAACACCACAACCACCACCTCCACCACCTCCAATTCTAATTACAATCCTTCATTCTCTTTGGAAGATTCTCTCAACCCTTCTTGTATGGGTGAGTCCTCTTCTTCTATTCAGGAAGACTCTATTCAACGATGGGTTGATAGTGTGAATTCCATGCTCTCATGGGATAGCTTCAACCAACTTGACGAAGGGCTTTTCTTTTCAGAAAATGTCCAGTGAACCTGTTTCCTCTCATCTGATACTTCAGTGAGTTCTAAATAAAATGGTTTAAATTATTTTTATTGTGATTTGAGTAATTTTATTTTGACACAACAATACCCTTAATTTCTTTTAATTCTCCGATTCATCTTTCTTGCTTTTGTTATCAATCTTTTGAAATTGTATTATTCTTTACTACGACTTCAGGTATTACTATGTCCACTTTGCAACCACAAAATTATCTCTATTAGTTTACGTCTGCATGAAGGTTCATTTAAAGGCCTCATTTTGTAATCAACTATGTTAACTCCTACCTTTTCTATTTCGATTTCCAAATTTCTCTCCAAATCTTTCAACCAAACACAGTATAATGGTATGTGCATGGAATTTGTGTGGGAATTGATAAAAACATAAATGTATGGACAAAAATCAACAATTATATGATGCGGTCCACAATTTGAATACAGATAAATTACACACATTTATAGAGAGGTTATGCACACAAATTGAAAGTGAATGTCATCAACTCATATATTTTATAATATTGATTGATATAAAGGTCGGCTATAGATATATGTATTGTTTTTTCATAAACAATAATCGAATGTTGGTTCGTGCTCAGCACTAAAATGTACCAACTTACCGAGTCAGTTTTCAGCTCTTCTTGTTTTTCTATTTTGTTTTTTTGGAGTGCTCTTAGTTTATTTTATTATTTACTATTACAGACGGCATTGCATAGAGCCACTCCAAAAAAATCTTAAAATGCAAATAATTCAATTACAGAATTAAATATAATCTTTTTATATGGGTAAAATTGTGTCCAATTTGGTTATTGAATTCTGTAAGAATAAATTTTTGAGAAAATATCAATGTAGTGTAAAAGTTTTTTTTAAAAAAAAAAATCAAATTAATGATGAACTTTATAAACATTAATAATTAAAGATTTAATTTTTTTTTATAAATCTATAATTATTTTATGAAACTTCACTGAATTGTTATTTTTTCTAATTTTTTCAATATTAATATCAATTCTATTTTCATAATGTCATGTGGCTTGTTAAAAGAACTCTGAAATTTTTTAAAGTCGATTTGATGAATTTGACATTTTAAAAAAGTTAAAATAAATTATGTTAACATAGATGAGAGTTTCGTAATATTATGTGGCTTGTTAACTTTTGTTAACTTGAAAAAAATTAATGGAGAACCATTCTCAATCGAATGGATGCACATAGTACATTAAGTATAAATCAAATTAAATTAATTTTAATTAAAATCTTAAATGATAAATGCAAATATATTATGTAGATGTGACAAATGGGCGGGCATGGAGTGTTCAAAATAAATTATACATTTAAAGCAATCTAATCCAAATCCGCCCATTTAATAAATGGTCTTAAAAAAGATAAGTTGAATTGGATACAGGTTAAATAAATGAATCCAACCAATCTATTTACTTCATCTTTTTTTTTTCAAAAAAAAATTATTATTTATTATCTTTTAAAAAATTATTCACTATGTTTGTTTCCATTTTTTTGAAAACACTTTTCAGAAAATTCTACTTTCTTATTTTTCATATTTTTTTTGTTTTTTCAAATTTTTTTAATATTTTAAACAATTTTTAAAATTTTTAGACACACCTAACATAAATACACTTAAAAAGCATAATTTTCGTGAAATTTTTTTTAAAAAAATTTACTAAATATCAAAAATATTAAAAAATATATATACAAAAAAATTATTAATTTTTGTATTTATACAAAATATATATATTAAAAATATATATATTTTTGTATTTTGTGTATTTATTAATTTTTTAAAATATTTTTTCACAAATATTTTACTTTTTAAATGCATCTAAGTAAGGTGCATCTAAAAAAGTAAAAAATATTTAAAATTTTAAAAATATTCACTAAAAATAGAAAAACACAAAAAATAAAAAACTCAATTTTCAGAAAATTGAAACCAAACACACTGATTATTTTTAGGGCAAATTACAAACACCCCCCTCGAGGTTTGGTAAAAATACAGATTCCCCCCTGAGGTTTGAGAAATTACAAATTACCCCTGAGGGTCAAATTTTCATAACAAATTAGGAAAAATTATGGGAGAATCTGTATGAAAATAAAATCCTCACGGGGCAATTTGTTATGAAAATATAAACCTCAGGGGGCGGGATGTAATTTCTCAAACTTCGGGAGGAATCTGTATTTTTACCAAATCTCGAGGGGGTGTTTGTAATTTTCTCTTATTTTTATTTTTATTTTTAAAAAATTAGAATTGGTGGTAGAAGTGGTGCCTATTTAAACGGGTTTAAATAGGTACTCATGTATACCCGATTTTAATTGGAATAACAATGAGCAGCCCATGTGTTTTAAATGGATATAAGTAGGCAAATTCATGAATTTGGATTGAATTTGCCACCTCTAACATTATGCTATCTCAAGCACTTCCATTATATGGAAAAGAAAATTGATATCTAGATATATGTATTGTTTTTTTATAAAGAATAATCGAATATTGGTTCGTGCTCAGCACTAAAATGTACCAACTTACCGAGTCAGTTTTCAGCTCTTCTTGTTTTTCTATTTTGTTTTTTTTGGAGTGTTCTTAGTTTATTTTATTATTTACTATTACAGACGGCATTGCATAGAGCCACTCTAAAAAAATCTTAAAATGCAAATAATTCAATTACAGAATTAAATACAACCTTTTTATATGGGTAAAATTGTGTCCAATTTGGTGATTGAATTCTGTAAGAATAAATTTTTGAGAAAATATCAATGTAGTGTAAGTTTAAAAAAAAAAAATCAAATTAATGATGAACTTTATAAACATTAATAATTAAAGATTTAAATTTTTTCTATAAATCTATAATTATTTTATGAAACTTCACTGAATTGTAATTTTTTTCTAATTTTTTCAAAATTAATATCAATTCTATTTTCGTAACGTTATGTGGCGTGTTAAAAGAAATCTGAAATTTTTTAAAGTCGATTTGATGAATTTGGCCTTTTAAAAAATTAAGATAAATTATGTTAACATAGATGAGACATTCGTACTATTATGTGGCTTGTTAACTTTTGTTAACTTGAAAAAAATTATTGGAGAACCATTCTCAATCGAATGGGTGCACATAGTACATTAAGTATAAATCAAATTAAATTAATTTTAGTTAAAATCTTAAATGATAAATGCAAATATATTATGTAGATGTGACAAATGGGCGGGTATGGAGGGGTCAAAATAAATTATACATTTACAGCAATCTAATTCAAATTCGACCATTTAATAAGGGTTAAATAAATGAATCCAACCAATCTAATTACTTCATCTTTTTTTTTTAATTATTATTTATTATCTTTTAAAAAATTATTCACTGTGTTTGTTTTCATTTTTTTGAAAACACTTTTCAGAAAATTCTACTTTATTATTTTTCGTATTTTTTTGTTTTTACTGAATTTTTAAAATTTTTAAACACACATAACATAAATACACTTAAAAAGCATAATTTTCGTAAAAAATTTTTTTAAAAAAATTTACTAAATATCAAAAATACAAAAAATATACAAAAATTTAGTATCTTTTTTTATTTTTGTATATTTATTAAATTTTTAAAATATTTTTTCACAAATATTTTACTTTTTAAATACATCTAAGTGAGGTGCATCTAAAAAAGTAAAAAAAAAAATTAAAAATTTTAAAAATATTCACTAAAAACAAAAAAAAACACGAAAAACAAGAAACTCAGTTTTCAGAAAACTAAAACAAAACACACTGATTATTTTTATTTTAAAAAAAAAATAGAATTGGTGGTAGAAGCGGTGCCTATTTAAACGGGTTTAAATGAGTACTCATGTATACCTGATTTTAATTGGATATAAGTAGGCGAATTCATGAGTTTGGATTGAATTTGCCTCATCTAACATTATGTTATCTCAAGCACTTCCATTATATGGAAAAGAAAATTGATATCTAGCTCGGGAATGGGGATCTATTTACCTCCCTCTCATATGAATGGAATTGCACCCTATATATAAAAAATGAAAAATACTAATCATAGGCTAATAAATGATTATTAGTTTTAATATATGTATAAAAAAATGTACAGAGAAAATGAAGAAAAAAAGAAAAAAGAATATACAAAAAGTCACTTTAACAACAACCCGATAGATTATTATTAGTATGACCCATTAAAATTAAGTTGGTGGATTAGTGAGTAGTAGGGTTGGGAATGAGATGGTGCAAGGCATGTGGTCATCGTCATATATAGGACCATTTACAAAAGTCATCATCATTGATATGAGTATGAATTAATATAAAATTAGAATGACAAAGATTGATATTTTTTTTGGTAATAAAAGAAGACAACTCAACATAATATGCCTTTTTTTTTTATTCTAATCATAGTTATGGCTTATGACCTCAACTTATTTGTTATTTTTTTAAAATTTATTTTATTATTTTGATTAGGACATAAATCTTAAGATTAAGTTTGGTTTTATTTAGTTTGACATTGACATATTAATTGATCTACGCTGCATATTATTATACCACTTCAATCAATTTTTTCTTTTTCTTTTTTACTTGACTTTATTCTATTGATTCATTTTTTATTTTATTTTATTTATAACTCCACTTATTCATTTCACTATTATCATTTTATCTACACTCATGTTAATAACAAAATAAACTGATTTTTTTTTTTTTTTTTTTAGATCATTGTTTCAAAACAAAACTGCATATTTTTAAGGTATTATTTTGTATTTTCACAAAAATATATATTTTATTATTTCTATTTTATGTTATTACTTGTTATCAATTCATTTTCTATTTTTGTTTTGAATTTCATCTACAGGCGGATCGGGTTCTTGTGGGTGCGAGATGGTTGATCCGTCATCTGAACCATATTAGTGGATTTTAAAATATTTCATCCGTATCCGTCTGCCAAAAGACATGTATCTGTCCAAAATCAATCGGGTTGGAACGAATCGATCGGGTTGAACGGGTTGGACGGATCCATGATCACTCCTACATCAAATAAGCTCGTAGTACCAAAAAAATGTGAGGAAAAAATGTTTTAAAAAAAAATTGAAAAATTTAGCCAAAACCCCTCCATTGGACCCTTGTTTGGTGAAAATGACAACTTCATTTATTTTGCTTCATAAACCTCTTAAGGAGGAGGCGCATAATTGAGTAAGGATAGAGTAAAAAAAAAATTCTTGGACAATATTGCTCATGCATATATATATATATATATATAGAACTCTTT